CGCGGTTCGCCTGCGGGTGGCTGCAGCCCGGGATCTGCGCTCCGAACCTCCGACCGAGTGGAGGTGACGGCCCAAATTCCCTGCCCCCAGTCATCCACAGACCTCGCACTGATGGCGACCCCCCCTCCGCCCCGTTCTTCCGCAAGGATTCGACCTCGCTGCTCTTCCTGCACATAACCTTGCTCTTTCACTTGCCCCAGTGCTCCGCACATCCCTTAGCCTGCATCTTAGCTCAGGAGGACCCCCTCACCCCCACCACACTCCATCTGTAAGTCCCTTTCACCCCCCTCCTTATCCTTCGCCGCTCTTCCTCACTGCCCTTCTTACCTGCTATTCCTCCTCTGTCCCATCTCTTCCCTACACGTTTTCCATTTTCCCAGCTCTCCTTTTTTCCCTGGGCTGGAGCGGACCTTTCCCCTTCTGCAGTTACAAAGGAGCACCTGCGAGTGTGGGGGAGTTGGTGGGGCTGACGGGAAATTTGGTCAGAGTAGGCCTTGGAAAGAAATTGCTCTAAGCTGAACAAACATTGACCTGGAAACAGCTCAGCCCTAGGAGGTTTACACACCTTATTTAGTACACGTTGCTACCGGAACAGGACAGAGGAGTGACAAGACAGGGATTGTTGGCCCTGATTTGCATATGGAAAAACAGAATACAGGCACACACTTGTAATCCCAGCACTTGGTAGGTAGACGAGAGGTTCAAGAGGTAAGGCAGCCTAAGTCTCAGAGAGAGGAAACGGGGGCGAGAGGGGGGTTACTACTGCTTCTGCCAGATCGCCAGCTGACATTGAACACTTACCATATGCCGAGCACTCGGCTGCTATTTAATCTTCACAATAACCCCAAAAGGTAAATAGTATCCTCTTCTTACAGTTGAAGAAACATACCAGGAGAATGTAAGTAACTCGCCAAGGTAATTAAGCTATAGTCAATGGCAGAAGCAGAAGTCTAAATCACAGGATTTAACCTTTACCAGAGGGTCTGAACTCCAGGATTCTGAAGTGTCTCCAGTGAGATCTGGCTTCCAGTCCTGTGTCCCGACTGTGTGGTGCCAAGTAAGTCCTTACCACTCTGGGCCTTAGTCGATCTTTCCTGCTGACATATATATTCAAATTTAGGGCCAATAGAGTGAGAGTTTTCCAGACTCTTCATCCCCAAAATTCCACCATGTTCATGCTCCAGGCCCCAGTTCTTGCAATGGCCTGTGAGACACTTGGGGAGAAATTGCAAACACCGGTCCTGGGGATTTCCAGGCTAGAGCTTCTGAATCTCTAAGTAGAACAGATCTAGTAGATGAGGCTCTGAGAGTTGCCCATTTGGCCAGCAGGAGCGAGTTCAGAGCTCCATGCTCTGGTGATTTCAAGAACCCTGCCTCAGCCAGGCCAAAAAGCTCTAAGATAGGACTGAATACTGCCAGGCAGAGGACAGAGCCAGAAAATAATACCCAGAGGCTTGAGGGGAGGCAATAGGCACTGTGTTCCTTACACTAGAGTTTCCAACGTGCCCTCATTTGTGCAAACCTGAGCCTCTGCCTAGCACAGCCACTTCCCACTAATCCCACACCCTCTGTTGACCTCCTTGCTGACAAACTAATCCCTAACATGTCCCTCCTGTCACACCACTTGTTTGTTCTAAAACCTCATATTCTCACAAAGCTCAACAATCCAACAGCATTCATAGCTCTTCATAACCCAGGTTCTCTCCAGCTCCGTCTTCCTTCTTCTCTGTGTACCCTGTGCTAGTAAAACTCCATCGCCTCCATGTTAAATGCTCTCCTCTTCCTTGATTGCCTCCTTCATGCCTTTCTAAAATTACTTCCTGTCTTCAAAATTCTTCCATGGCTTCTCAGGGGAATCCACTCTTGCCCTACTCATGTGTCCGTGTCCGAGACTACTTTGATGGACAGTCTCATTTGTTTGTTCAGTAAATAGTAAGTAGCTGAGTGTGTGGCTTGCACCTGTGGTTCTACCTACTCAGTGCCTAGGAACAGCCTGGGCAACAGTGTGAGTCAGTGTGCACATTCTCTCTCTCTCTCTCTCTCTCTCTCTCTCTCTCTCTCTCTCTCT